AGTAGTAGTAGTAGTAGTCGTAGTAGTAGTAGTAGTAGTTAGTAGTTAGTAGTAGTAGTAGTAGTAGTAGTAGTAGTAGTAGTAGTAGTAGTAGTAGTAGTAGTAGTAGTAGTAGTAGTAGTAGTAGTAGTAGTAGAGTAGTAGCAGCAGTCGTAGTAGTAGTAGTAGCAGCAGCAGCAGCAGCAGCACTAGTAGTAGTAGTAGTAGTAGTAGTAGTAGTAGTAGTAGTAGTAGTAGTAGTAGTAGTAATAGTACTAGTACTAGTGGTAGTAGCGGTCGTCGTCTTAGCCGTAGTCGTCGTCGTCGTCGTAGTAGCAGTAATCATACGAATAATAGAATACGATGTCGTCGTAGTAGTAGTAGTTGTGGAGTGGGGGCGGTCGCAATACTGGTAATGAATGTATCCGTGATAGCCGCAGTGTAATCGTAGTAGTAGAATTACGACTAGTAGTAGCACGCGTACTGGAAGTGATCGGATTACTAGTCGTCGTAGTACTAGTCGTAGTGATACGGATAGCCGTAACAGTAATCGTAGTAGCCATAATAGTGGTGGTAGAAGCATATTAGTAGTGGTGATAATTCAGTAGTAGTAGTAGTAGTCCTAGCAGTAGTAATGTTAATACTAAAGTAGCAGCAGTAGAAATAGTATAGGTTATTCGTGGTAGTACTAGGCCGTAATAGTAGTAGTAATAGCACGGGTAATCGTAATAGAAACCGATAATAATGATCTGAACAACTGTCCTAGTGGTAGTCGTAGTGGTAGGTAGCATTAGTAGTGACAGTACTATACATCACAACACCAGTGATTGTAGTAGACATGTAAATAACACTCCTAGTAGTAGTAGAATAAGTAGTAGCCGTAGTAGCCGCAGCACTCGTCAGTGTAGAAATAATAACATCGTAATAGTAGTGGTGGTCGTCGTTTTAATAATCGTAGCAGTCGTAGTGGTCTTAAGATACTGGTAGTAGTCGTAAAAATCAGAAAACGTTGTAGCAGAAATAATCGTAGTAGTTGTAACACTGAGATCCGTAGTGGTAGCAACAATACTGGGAATACTCGTCGTGGTGGTAGTTAGTATTAGTACCAATCGTAGTTGCGAAGGTAGTAGCAGTCGCCGTCGTAAAAATAGCAGGGGTAATCGTACTAGTGGAGGTAGTCGCAGTAGTAATATTAGTATTGGTCATAGTCGCAGTAAAACGTGTAATCGTAGACAACGTATATAATAATAATCAGTGTCATCGGGGTAATAGCAGTAGAGGTAGTAGTTGTAGTAGTGACAGCCGTGGGAGTAGTAGTCGTCGTCGCCGAGAAAGTACCACTCGTAACAGTAGTTGTCTTCGTCGTCGTCGTAGCAATCGTAGCAGTCGTACCAGATGTGGTAGTCGTGGTTGAACTAGTTGTCGTAAAAAAAAAGGAATATCAGTAGCAGTGGTAGTAGCCATAGATGTCGCAGCGATAATGAAAAAAAAAAAAAAAAAAAAAAAATGTAGTAAAAGTAGTAGCAGTCGTAATAGAAGCGGTTGTAGTCGTAGCCTTCGCAATAGTAGTAATAATAAAATATCAAAAACAGAGAATAGTAGTATTGGTAGCCCTGGATTTAGTAATACTACGGGCAATGGTAGTAGTCATGATAATCCGGGTAGTAGTAGTAGTAGTAGTAGTAGTAGTAGTAGTAGTAGCAGTAGTAGTAGTAGTGGTGGTAGTAGTAGTAATATTAATAGTAGTAGTCGCAGTAGTAGTAGTAGTAGTAGTAGTAGTAGTAGTAGTAGTAGTAATAGTGATAGTAGTAGTCGTATAGTCGTGGAAAAAGTAGTAGTAGAAGTAGCTTCAGTTGTTGTGGTAGTCGACGTAGAAGTACTAAACGTATTAGTAGTCGTAATAGTATTCTTGGTAGCAGTAGTAATCGTCGTAGTAGTAGTACTAGTAATAACAGCAGTGGTAGTAATAGTAACAACAATAACATGGATAATGATGATAGGTGTAGTAGTAATCGTGATAGTAGCCGTAGTATTCGTAGGAGTAGTCGTAGTGAAAGGAGTAGTACTAGAAAACCAATAGAAGTAGCAAAACTAGAATTACTAGCTGTAATACTCGTAGTAGACAAATAGAAGTAGTAGTCGAAATGGTAGTAGTAGTAGTAAAAGTAGTAGTAGTAGTAGTAGTAGTAGTAGTAGTAGTAGTCGTAGGTCGTAGGTCGTAGTAGTAGTAATAGTAGTAATGACAATAATGACATAAAGTAGTAGCAGTCGTAATCGTAGCAGTTGCACTCGTACTAGTTACAGAACTAGTCGTAGTAGTAGTTGTAGTAGCAGTAGGAATCGTAGTAATAGTAGTAGTAGTAGTAATAATAGTAATATTAATAATAGTAGTAGTAGTAGTAGTAGTAGTAGTAGTAGTAGTAGTGGTGGTGGTAGTAGTAGTAGTAGTAGTAGTGGCAGTCGTACTTGTTGTATTCGTACCGAAATACTATGAGTAATTCGTAGTAGTGGTAGTACATCTAGTAGTCGTAGTAGAAAGGTCTTTAACATCGTCGTACTCGTAGTAGGTGTAGTAATGGTAAAAGTAGCCGTAGTAGTAGTAGTCGTATGAGTAAGAATAATGTCATAGCACTTGTCGCAGCCGTAGTATTCGTAGCATTCCAAAGATAGCCTCAAGAGTCATCGTAGGAGCAATGGTAACATCGCGGTAGTAGTAATGGTAATCGTCGTAAGAATAGTAGTAATAGTAGTAGTAGTAGTAGTAGTAGTAGTAGTAGTAGTAGTAGTAGTAGTAGTAGTAATAGTAGTAGTAGTTGTAGTCGTAGTAGTACTGGTAATGGTAGTAGTGATTGGACATTCTGATGGTGATAACAACCATGATGGGGGCAAGGACGGCGTCGCCGCTCCCGGACGGAACCGCCATCAACCCGGCCGTAGTAGTAGTAGTAGTAGTAGTAGTAGTAGTAGTAGTAGTAGTAGTAGTAGTAGTAGTAGTAGTAGTAGTAGTAGTAGTAGTAGGTAGTAGTAGTAGTAGTAGTAGTAGTAGTAGTAGTAGTAGTAGTAGTAGTAGTAGTAGTAGTAGTAGTAGTAGTAGTAGTAGTAGTAGTAGTAGTAGTAGTAGTAGTAGTAGTAGTAGTAGTAGTAGTAGTAGTAGTAGTAGTAGTAGTAGTAGTAGTAGTAGTAGAAGTAGTAGTAGTAGTAGTAGTAGTAGTAGTAGGAGGAGTAGTCGCAGTAGTACTAGTCGTCGTCGTTGTGATGAATCTGAATATGAGACTGATTCTGTCACTGAATCTGAAACAACTAGTAACCTTAGGAATCCCTGAGAATCGTGATTCCTAAAGATGCCTAGGGCGTTGTACGGATTCCACGAGAAGCCTACGGATTCCCAGGGATTCTTCATAATGCTTAGCTATGCCAGCGGATCCCGAAGAATGGTTACGGATTCCTAAGGATCCCTATGAGTTCCTAAGAAATGTGAATATGTCCCAAGCGATTTGGCCAATTCCACTAAGAAAATGTGAGGACGTCCCAAGCGATTTGGCCAATTCTACGAAGCAATGTGAGGATGTCTCAAGCGATTTGGCCAATTCAATTAAGAAATGTGAGGATGTGTCAGGCGGCTTGGCAAATTCAGCTAAGAAATGCGAGGATGCTTCACTCGATTCGGCCAATTCTATAAAGAAATGTGAAGATGTCTCAAGCAATTTGGCCAATTCTACTAAGAACTGTAAGGATGGCCCAAGCGATTTGGCCAATTCAATTAAGAAATGTGGAAATGCCTGAAGCGATTGAGCCAATTCAACCAACAAATCAAAGGATGTCTCACGCGATTTGGCCAATTCTACTAAGAAGCGTGAGGATGTCTCAAGCGCCTTGGCCAATTCTACTAAGAAATGTGACGCTGTCTCAAACGATTTTGTTCGTTCTATAAGATGTGTGAGGATGTCTCAAGCGATTTGGCTTATTCGATTAAGAAATGTGAAGATGTCTTTAAGCGATTTTGGCCCGTTGTACAAAGAAATGTGGGGATGCCCCAAACGATTTTGCCAACTCTGCTACGACATGTGACGATGTCTCAAACGATTTGGCCAACTCTATCAAGAAATGTAAGGATGTCTCAGCAGTTGGCCACTTCTATTAAGAAATGTGAGGTTGTCTCAAGCGATTTGGTTTATTCTACTAAGATATATGAGGATGTCTCAAGCGATTTGGCCAATTCTATAAGAATGTGAAGATGTCTCAGGCGGTTTGGCCAATTCTACTAAGACATGCGAGGATTTCTGACTCCATTTCGCAAATTGTATTAAGAAAGAGCCCCAAATGCCAGAATAACGCTTCCAGGGTGCGGGGTGGTTATCGTTTCGCCGGACGGGGGGGGGGGGGGTAGGGTGTTCTTAATTGCTGGATGAGGTTATTGTAGTAGACGTAGTCGTAGTCGTAGTAGTAGTAGTCAGTAGTAGTAGTAGTAGTAGTAGTAGTAGTAGTAGTAGTAGTAGTAGTAGTAGTAGTAGTCAGTAGTAGTAGTAGTAGTAGTAGTAGTAGTAGTAGTAGTAGTAGTAGTAGGTAGCGTAGTAGTAGTAGTAGTAGTAGTAGTAGTAGTAGTAGTAGTAGTAGTAGTAGTAGTAGTAGTAGTAGTAGTAGTAGTAGTAGTAGTAGTAGTAGTAGTAGTCGTAGTAGTAGTAGTAGTAGTAGTAGTAGTAGTAGTAGTAGTAGTAGTAGTAAGTAGTATAAGTAGTAAGTAAGTAGTAGTAGTAGTAGTATAGTAGTAGTAAAGTAGTAGTAGTAGTAGTAGTAGTAGTAATAGTAGTAGTAGTAGTAGTAGTAGTAGTAGTAGTAGTAGTAGTAGTAGTAGTAGCTGTAGTAGTAGTAGTAATAGTAGTAGTGGCAGTGGTAGTAGTAGTAGTAGTAGTAGTAGTAGTAGTAGTAGTACTTTCACTACAACGGCTACAAGTACTACTACTGATCGTGCTGATACTAGTTATCAAAATGATAACAATAATTCTGGGCAAGCCCGGCGGCGCCTCTCTGGGAAGCCGCCGCCACCAGCCCGGCCAGGCGCGCCCAAGGCGGCGATCCAGCCCTCGCGCGGGGTGGGGATCCCTTCCCACGGGGGCGTCCAAGAGTCGGCGACTCCGAAGGCCAAAGGGTGTGGTTTACACAGGGTGTGGTTTGCAACCGGCACCCTGGGGAACCGCCTGGGGGACTGGCGGGGATCTCGATCGAGTTCTCCGCCGCGCCCCGAGGAGGCCCGAGGCAGTGTCGGTCCCCCCAATGGCGCCGACAGCAAACGATCCCTCGGCGTAGCCATACCCTTTGTTATCGCCGAAAGAGCGATGGCGTCCAAGATTTAGCGTTTTTTATTGTCGCTGGGGGCGGCGCAGGCCGCAGCCCTCCCCCCTCTGCACTCAGGGTGTGGGCCCCGCCCAACGCGCAGCTCGGCGCCCTCGCGTGATGGCGCTTATGGCGCATAGCGCGCCAGGCGCGAACCCGGAACCCCTCGGGCCATGAAAAATCATGACGGGCGGTTGTTCTAGATCTTCGGCCTCGGGGTCCCTGACTGGGCCTCGGGACCGTCGAGAAACAACTCTGGATGAAAAACCGGCCCAGGGGAATGGGTCAAGCTCTACTGTGGGTCCATGTTATGAAAAGATCTTGACATATGGGGGCTGGGGATCTTCATCACGCCGTGTGCGTTCGTCGGCTGCGGATGCGCCTCGAGCGGCCCGTGGCTAGATTCAGCTGGGTGAGACTGGGGAGGTCGACGAGGTACTCGTGGCCGCCCGCGCACAGGCAGCAGGCTGGCTCGCCCCGGGCCTCGGCTTCGCGCAGGGCGCACTCGGCGACGGGGTCGAAGGGAGCCCAGCCTGCGTCACTCTCGAACTCCCACTGGCCCTGCTCCCTCGCACCTCGCGCCCTCGAGTCCTCTCGGGGGCGCGCAAACATGGATTGGCGACCCATGGGTTTGGCGCGCGGTCGCTAAATCCATAGAACGGGAGAGGTGCCCTCCCCAAAATGCGGCCGGTGCCGCCTCGTTCGGCGGCGGAAATCCGCGATTTCCCATGGAAACGGGACCCGTCGCTAATGTACGCCCCCTTGATCCATGCTTGCGATCGCCTGAACCTCGCGCCCTCGAGTCCTCCAGCGCCAGGCCCAGCGCCCTGTCCACGTCGCCGCCGGCGGCGGCCAGGGTGGCGCGCGCGGCGGCGGCGTCCAGGCCGAGCTGGAGCAGCTGGCGCTCGGGGCCGCAGGACGCGGGCGAGCGGGGCGCCTGCCCGGGCCCGGCGCCCGGCGGCGACGGCCAGCTTCCCCGCCGCGCCGCGCCGGGGCGGTCCGCAGCCCCGCCAGGCCGGCGCGGCGCGGCGGCCTGGGACTGCCTTGGTGGGCTGGCTTTCCACCACCACCACCACCACCACCACCATAAGTAGGAGGGGGGGGTCCTCCTCCTCCTCCTCCTCCTCCTCCTCCTCCTCCTCCTCCTCCTCTTCTCCTCCTCCTCCTCCTCCTCCCTCCTCCTCCTCCTCCTCCTCCTCTTCGTCCTCCTCCTCGTCCTCCTCCTCCTCCTCTTCGTCCTCCTCCTCGTCCTCCACCTGCTTCCCCCTCCATGGACTGTGGCGGCGGTGGACAACAGGCCCCACGATGCCTGGCGCCCGCGGCAGGCCCGCGGGGGAGCGCTCGCCGTGCGGGGCGCTGGCCCGGCCCGGCGGCGTGAAGGGCGCGCGCGCCCCCGCCGCCGCCGCCCCGCTCGAGGAGGCCCTGCGGGCGCGGCTGGCCGCGGCCGGCGCGGGCCCGGCGCCCCGGCAGGCGCGCGGCGGCGCGGGCGCCGCGGGGCGCCGCGGGGGAGACGCGGCGGCGGGGCTCCAGCAGCCGGCGCCCAGCAGGGGGCGCTCGCCGAGGTCGGAGGGGCGCCTGCGACCATCTTGCTCCCATCGTACACCCTGCGAAATGCTTAAGAAATCATGGGTTAAGAAATTCATAGTCTCAGAACTTGAGTAAGAGCCCAGAATTTCCATCGAAGTCGTAGGATTTACATGAAAACATTAAGAATAATCGAGACTCTGGACGAAAACTTGGGTTTTCTTAAGCATCGCCTGGGGTGTATGCTGAGGGGCCACATCCCAGAAAGATTCTCGAGCACCCAGGAGAGCACCGAAGCGGTGTCCGACGAGCCTCGCCTCCCACACAGCCCGACACGTGACAGTCCTCCGGTCCCGGCACCCTCCTGGTGCTCGACATTCTCTTGGGCGGTCAGGGTGAAAGCAGGTTGGAACATCACAAGCCTGCGAGAGGGCTCGGGGGGCCGCGGTGGCGGCACCTCGTCGCCGCCGGGCAGCTGCGCCAGGTCGCGCGCCAGGGTGCGCGTGGGCCGGGTCTCGTGGACGCCAGAGGCGCCCGCCAGCAGCAGCGGCTCCTGCGACGCGCCCCAGCAGTCAGCCATGGCCCATGTGCGCGCACTAGCAGAGCGAGCGGCGGGCAGCGCCGCGCGCACCAAGAGTGTTGCTTGAGCCAAGTGGCTACGGACGGGGGCGTCCAAGAGGGGGGGTCGCAAGGCATGGCAAGAGGCGTGTGCGTGGCCGAGGGGGGCATGATATCCGGGAAGGTACAATGTCCCCCGCCATGATCTCCACCCCCCCCTTGTCATCACCCCCCTCCTGGACGCCTCTGATCCCCGCGCAGGAAGCAGGATTGGTCGGCATCGAATCGGGAAGTCGGATCGGATCGGAATGTGCGTCGGATCGGGCCGCATCGGCACGGTGTCGGCATCGAATCGGACCGGCCGCGCCAGCATGCACAGCAGCACGTTGCCAGCATCGAGCCGCAGGAATCGAATTGGTTCGGGCCTGCCGAAATCGATATCGAATCAGGTCCCGTCGGATCGATAGAGGGCAATTGAGCCCTGGTGAGGGGGTCACTAAGCAAGCATCGGCCAGACGAAGTCAGACTGAGCGGGACAGAACTGGGTTGAACGGGATCAGGCTAGCTTAGTCCGAGAATAATCTAAATGAGGGCAGCGGGTCCTGCAAGAAAGGGTCCTGGAATCTTTTCGCCGCTTTCAGCCCCCCCCCCCCCCGGAGCTCCCCGCGGGCCCTGGAGCTGTCAAACATCGGCTCCAGATGGAGAGCTCGTCCTGGGGAGAGCCCTGGGGTCTGGGGCCTCAGTCGTCGTTCGTCGTCGTCGTCGCCGTCGTCGTCGCAGTCGTCGTCGTCGTCGTCGTCGTCGTCGTCGTCGTCGTCGTCGTCGTCGTCGTCGTCGTCGTCGTCGTCGTCGTCGTCGTCAGGACCCCGTGTGGGAGCAAGTGAAGGAGGAACGGATCGGAAAGACGGGGCATGCTTGGTGTTGCAGATTTGGGCCGGAATCACCCTCTCTTGCACCCTGGACCAACACTCCTGCGCCCAAACTTCCCCGTCGAGCAAAGTCGCTCATCCCTTCGGAGTCCTGGATTACCACCAAGGAGAGGCCGTACAACGCACAGATCTGCCAGATATGATAGGATCTCTTGGTCCTCCGAGAGCTTCTGGAGGAGAAACGGATCGAACACATCCGAGCGGACACCAGATATGATTGGATTTCGTGGTCCTCCGAAAGCTTCTGGAGGAGAAACGGATCGAACACCTCCGAGCGGACCCTTAGCAAGAGGCGGACCAGCTGCGGGGACCGTGTGCGGCCGTACAAAAACTGCGCTGGGCGCGTCGTGCGGGCTGGGTGCACGGGCACCGCCCCGCGACATATCGGGGAGACGTAAGACCCGGGTACGGGGGACTCGGAAATCCCCGACGAGGTCGTCAAAAAAATGACGAGGCCGAGCCTGCATTTTGACGAGGCCTCCCGCTGCAGACATCCCACGAAACTCCTCCTCGTCAAAATCCCAATCGCGGTCGTCAAAAAACGATGGCGAACCCGAGTCCTGGCAAACCCGGGTCTTACGCTCCCCCGATACGATGGGGGCGCCTGTCGTGGAAGAGGCAGGGGGTGCCAAGCGTGGGGCAACGATCAGCATGCTCTCACGGCGAGACATGGCGGGAACCCCACTGAGGAGCGCGACGCAGACTGCCGCTGCAGTCGTGGGAGGGGGAGTGCGGCACGCAGAGGAGCCCAAAGGCGCGGGGGAGTGGGCCAGCAACTTGCATACGGTGCGCGCAGAACGGATCACAACTACAAAACCTGTCGCGGGACAGAAATCGGGAGGCGCAAGAGGGACATAGAACGCAAGAGGAGGCTATAGGAAGATGAGCGCAGAGGCAACGGCACGGGGAACGATGCACCGAAGCGGAGAAGAACGGCTGGGACAAAGATGCCGGTTGACTGTAGTAGAGGTCAACAAGTCCACCCCCATCAGAACCACCCCGACACGCGAAGTTGTTCAGTAAGCGCGCCCAAAGAAGGAATCGAACAGGGCGGGGCTGTTTCGTAAACGCCCAGGGCCATTTAGTAAACGCCAGTCGTCCGGTCCGGGTGGCTTTCCCTCCCTTGACATTCTAGGCCTCCTAGATGGGGTCGGAGTAGATTGGGTCGGTGGATCTCGCCGCATCGCCGATGCATCGGCGATGTGGCGCGATGTGGAGCCCGATTTTCTCCACGCCGGCGTCGCCGATACATCGCCCACATCGACGATGCATCGCCAGTGCATCGCCGATGCATCGCCAGTGCATCGCCGATGTATCGGCGATGCGGCGCGATCCTCCGACCCCATCTACTCGGACCCCATCTAGGAGGCCTAGAGACATCTAGGCTGGTTTTCCCTCCCTTGACATAAAGGTTTCGGCCTGACCAAGTGAACGAGAAATAAGGAACGAAGCCCCTTTTTTTCCCAAGTAGTCCTAGGAAGTCCGAAGGAACACCAGGGAGGCTCGCCATCAAAAAGGTAGCGGGACGCATGCAAACCAGAGTAACGAACGAGCCCGTCTTGAAGAACAAATGTTCCTTATTCAAGCCAGACCGTGTATCAGGGCTGAACCTAAACGGTGTTTTTCGTTTTCGTTTTGTTGTCGTTTTCCCTCGTTCTGTCTTCAATCCGCCTTTACCGCAAGACGAAATCGAAACGAAAACGGCCCACGAAAGCGCCAAAACACAGTTTAGGTCCAACCCTGCCGTGTAGTGCGGGCTTCGCTGAGCCAGGAAATCGGGGAGATCGACGGGAAGCGGCCCGCGGGACGGGGCCTCGGCGGCGGGGAGGACGGGCAGCCGATGCTTCGCGCAAGCGGGCCGCGGAACGCAGGGATGCGGGCGCCGCCGCACCCCCACATGCACCCCGGCCCGCCGGCTGTGTGCACATCCCCAGACCTCCAACGAATTTAAAAAATCAAGACGAAGGTTTTTCTCGATCTTCGGCCTCTAAGGGCCCTCGCCGTGCCCCGGGACCGTCAAAAGACGACTCACGATGAAAAACCAGTCCTGGGGAATGGGTCGAGACTTCGGGGGACCGCGTATTGAAAAAATCACGACGTCGGATCTCTGGGTCTGTGCGTGCTCCGTTCTGCGCGCATATGCCGGGCGACACCAACACCTGCAGATGTACACTCAGCGCCCGGCTAAGTCTCAAGACGAGGCCAGGACGAGGAGGACAACATCGGGTGAGGACAAGTCGAGAATCTCTGAAGTCTAGCGGCTCTGGAAGATGCCTCCGGCGCCGCGGCCTCCTCGGAGCGTTCCGGAACGCTCCGCGAGCGTTCCAGAATGCGCTAGAACGAGCCCAGACATGCAACGTCCTGATTGTTTCAGGACGGCGTCCCCGGAAATCCCGACCCTCTACCCGGGACCGGTTTTTCATCCCGAATCGTGTTTTGACGGCCCCGAGGCCCGGCGAGGGCCCCCGCGGCCGGAAACGGGCGAAAACCTCCCGCCCTGATTTTGGTTACGACACGATCATGTCTGGGAGTCTAACCTCATGCCCGTGAGAATAAACACTGGGAGTCGATCCTCATGTCTGGGAGTCTAACCTCATGTCTGGGAGTCTAACCTCATGTCTGGGAGTCGATCCTCGTCCTACGCAGCCCCGTCCGAAGTGCCCTTCCGCGCGTGCTGGATGTCCCGAGCGGGAGAACGCGTGCAGACTGGCACTCGCCGACATGGGAGAAAGGGTACGGGCCGGGTGCGTCTCCGCGCCCCCCCCAGCAGAGCCAGGGGGGGACGGGAGCCACTGACATTCTCAGTGAGAGCACCGGAGGGAGAAGTGGAACTACAATCGGGGGCGTGCAAACACGGAGTAGCGATCCATGGACTTGCCGCGCTGCCGCCAAGTCCATGGATCGGGGGAAGTGCCCTCCCCAACAATGCGAGCAGTGCCGCCTCGCTCGGCAGCGGGAATCCGCGATCTCCCATGGAAACGGCACCCGTCGCTCATCCACGCCCCCTTGATCCATGTTTTGCGATCGCCGGAATTTGTGGATGTAGGCTGACGACCGAAGAGTCGAACCTGCAGGGGCTCCCGTCGGTAGAGGAGGGCGAGGGAGAAAGTCGCGAGCCCTTTTCCCGTGCGCCGCGGAAGAAGCAGCGCAGTACCCAGTACCAGAGTATCCAATGCCTGCGCCGAGACGTCGGCGGCAGACGAGGAGATCATGGTGACACGAGAAGACTTCACACACCAAATCGACCCCCCGTCTCTTACGGCTCGACCCGGGCCGCCCCTCTTTCCCCCTCCGTGGCCCCCGCGCTCGCCTGGGCTGCCAGGGCGGCTGCCCGCCAGCGGCTGCCGCGGAAGCGCGTCCAGAGACGAGGGCACGGCGAGGACGAGCCCTCCTCCTCCTCCTCCTCCTGCTCCTATATCGCTGCGCGATCAGGCAGAGTCTCCAGAGTCTCCTCCTCCTGCTCCTGCTCCTCCTCATCCTCCTCTTCCTCCTCCGCCTCCGCCTCCTCCTCCTCCTCCTCCTCCTCCTCCTCGTCCTCCTCCTCCTCCTCCTCCTCCTTCTCCCCCTTGGCTGC